TGGCCATACGATTAGCCAACCCAGCCTCGTGCACGCATAAAGCGTTTGTACAGGCGATAAGGCTCCCCTGGGCAAAGGCAAACCCAGCATACGTGTTTAGCCATGCCACGGCGCGTTATAGCACCGAAACACGGACAGATAATCGCCAGACCCTCCCTCCCCTCCCCCCCCCCGCCTCCTCCCTAAACCCCAGACAGAATTAGAATCTGACCTCTGAGCTCTGAACGCCCTTTAGCCCTCTCCCCCATATTGACTTTTGACTTTTGCTATTCTGCCCTTATATAACTGTACAGGCCTGATGATGAATAAGCGAAACTGTACGCTTGCCAGACTTGACTTCTTAGATGTCTACATGGGTATCATTGATGAGCTTAAACAATCCTATATATTGCTCAACCTTTGTCTACACTAATATCTAGAAGATAAGCACACGACATTTTTCGTGTAACTTTAGAAGGCCCTCGAGACAGATAAACGAGATTATTGTCTTGAAAGTGTACTAACTGGCTAGGTGTTTCACGGTGAAGGTTCTTCCTTTGCCTCCTGATACACCGGTCAGTGAGCGTTGCTTCAGCCTTAACGACAAGGGGAAGTCGTGGAGACATGCCCTATAACTACAAGATACTTTTTCTTGTCCTTCGAAGCAAATTTTGGTTGATTTTACAGCACCCCTGAAGGCCTAATGAGCTGCTTTAAATTTCGGAAGACCAGTTGGCGAGCATACATCTGTTTTCGATAAATTCTCGTCAGGCCAGCACATCTATAAGGGAGGGGGGGGGGGTAGAAGCAAAAACATGTTCCTCATGAGAGAAATTGATTAAAGTTCGTCTTAAAACGCAGGGGTGTGGAAGACAATAGCAGTCAATGCCAGAGGCGGGGTGAGAGCGGAATGGCGCGGCGGGTTGCATCGTTTGTCGACCTTCGACCACGGTAGGTGCGTAGTCTGAACGTTGTGCTTCTGCGCGCAAAAAATCGGCTTTCGTAACCTGATGGCAGACGCTTCTGCTGTTGCTAACAGGCACTGGCTCAGTACCTTAGGATAACTCGGTAGGGCCCTATAAATCACACGAAAAACTTTGTTGGAGTCCACGCAATGGACGGAATCAACAGTATGCGCGAGAATGGCGTGTTCAGGCGCCTAGTCTGGCCCTTTCTCAGACATGTCGGGAGGTTTTCTCGTATTCTCTTAGCTAGGCCCCGACTAGCGGGACCAATATAACCTGCTCCAAAGGAGCAAGTAAAGGAGTAGATGCACATCGATGTGATCTGAGTTGGCAACCTACCCCTACCTTCTCTGCGTAAAATGGAGTTTGCAAAGAATAGTATGCAAACTTTTGTTGCTGGGAAGGTTCGTGAGACAGCTTAACCAATACGTCTTTTTAAGAGTTCGTTCGCAGCATCCCCTTGAGACGGGACTCTGAGGAACAGCGTTTTCTGTTCGACAGTCTGCGTGGTGGGCTTTTCCGATTGATAAGCAATATTATTTGTAATAACACTTGTCCGGATACCTGTTTTCGCGAAGCAATTCCTAGATCTTTCTAAGCTACTCCTCGATGCTATCAGCAGAACAAATTTTTCTAGTCCTTTGCGCCGAACACCGGACTAGATTCCGTTTTTGTTGAAAGGGCACGAAACTGTCGAAGTTCATGTAGAGTCCAGACCAGGTTTCCTTCCAATAGACGCATCATCGGACATCAGCATCAGGTCTCCTGTTTAGGAAGACATCTAGGAAAGGGAGCAAACCAGTCGTTTCCATCTCCAATGTGAATTTGATTCACGGATGTGCCTGATTTACCGTATTTAAGAGGGCAGCTATGTCGGTTTCTGTGGTGGCAATCTTTTTCTTTGTCTACCTTCCTGAATTTCTTCTGGTCCGGCAATATAGATTGTATCTTCGTTACATAATCCGATCTGTTCGTTATGACGATGCCCGTTTCTTTATCAGGCCTAATTACTAAGATCTCTTTGTTCTCCCGAAGTTTTTTTTAACTTCTCCACATGTGCTGTTGTCAGCAATTCCCGACTTTTTGGCTCCTTGTTCAGGTACTGATAACCGCAATTCATCAGTGTTGATTTGGAATAATGAGTACTGTCTGTGGAAGCGGACATTGGGTCGTAGGTTTGGTTCCAGAGGTTCTCGAACTTAATTTCTAATTCTAACTGATTAACTCTTCGGCAGGGCATGCAAAACTTAGGACCAAGTGATAGTGCTTCAAGTGATGTTTTATCAAGTGTCATAGAAGAGTGGTTGTGTACGTATCGACCTGGATATTTTGGGAGCCGCGATTGTAGTTTCATTGCATGCACACTTTTAAGAATCCCAGATATTTTTGTCGCTCCGCGTTTTCTTCCCATGGGCTGCGTATTACTGCCGAATTCTTGTCTTTCATCCTCTGTTGGGTTGTGAAGGACGGATGTGCGTTGACACACGTGACGCTTAAGTTCTTCTATCTTTACGAGGGTATTTTCCAGTTGATTATCAGTGCATCTTTTCAGGGTTTCGATGATAATGTGCCGCAGTGCTCTCCAGTAGTGGTTAGGATACTCGCTTCTCTCAATGTAATCCCCGAATAAACTTGTCCAGTACTTTCGCCTCCGCTTTAGATTTATTAATTAATTTCCTTTAATGAAAGAACCAATTGACATTTTCTGAAATCGCAACAGCCAGAACCTTTGTCAGTCCTGCTTATGGGAACTAGGAAACTCACGCAGTCGGGAAATTTCGTCTGCGAGACGGTATCAAACTGCCAACTACCGAAACCGCGTTAAGCGCCCAACGTTTGATGATCACAGTTGCCACTGATGGCCGTTATGTCTGACCCCTTTTGCGTTATTCCTAACTCGCAAAGAGATTCAAGTCTGGCCTCTGAGTGAAAAATGAGAGGCAACCGGGGGAAGAGGGCGGCAAACCACGCCGGGCGAATGTTTGAATGAAGAAATTTTTCGGCTTTTTGAGTTCACAGAAAAAGGCAGCCGGATATGATCCGCTGTGTTATTTATGTGCCCGAAAGTAAGAAAAGGCCTCGGGAGAAAAGTTTTTTTGATTGAAAGGAGGAGTTTATGGGTAATGAGGTTGGCTGAATCGGAAATACTTCCGTTTCTGCTGTAAAAACTGAACATATAAAACAATGTAATAGCTAAAATCAAGCCCTGGCTACACGGATAAGTACCCTTGTAAAATTTTTTCCTGGTAGACAGAAGGAGTAACCAGACTTGGACGAGGGCTTTTAGGGAACCATCTACTTCTCCTTTCCTTGCGCCTTTTTACAAGTCCACCTGACCTTTTATTCGCCACTACTAAACAAACCCTCCTTCTGACCAACGGGTACAGTTTGTGGTGTCAGGGAGTGTGGTAGCCAGCAGCGAACGCCTCAAAGGTAAACCCTTTACGTCCTGCTAAGAGGAGCGGCAGTGCCTTCCAAAACGGAAAGCGAGTTATCATTTGATGAAAATGAGTTCAACTTCAACTCCATTAGGATTCAAACGGATACTGCTCAGTGAACGATGCAGACTTCCTGCCCATTTGTTTGCACGAGGACTTTGCGCCTCTGAACAGAGTTGTAAGCCCAAACCTCGGAATGATGCTAACTAGTGAGACTGTGAAGAGTTTTACCTACGTAGTGATCAATGCTGTTTTCGATTGTGAATTTCGCCATGGTAAGTTTGGTGGCTTTTTTGGTTAAACAAATTTTGTCCTTTCGCTCTTTATAATGGTTCAGCTCATCCTAAATAAAACATGAAAGACGGAATCCGCAATTGGTGACTAATAGTCAATGCTGAGAGCCGGGAATAGTCGTGAGTTTATTGCACTATTTCGTTTGCAGTCTACGCTACTTCGCATTTTGAAAAAATTACATGCGTCAACACATCCACATAGGACAGAATCTAATGTCCTCACAATTTCCGAAATCAAGCATGATTTAGGTGGTAGATATTTGCTGGAAATTTAAAAAGTTTTCAGATCAATAAGTTCTGGAGGCTGGGCCTGCGATAGATTATGAGGTAATCTTTTGGGAGAAAGAATAGAGATATACAATGTAGATCGGAGTGTGGACACTCTGGAAGACTGTGTTTTAATCTGTTTGGTTAATTGGGGACGGACGCTCAGAACATAGCTGATGGACCTCGACATAAATATCCATACAATAAATTTCAGACTACGCCTACTGACCTTAGTGTAAACTGATCTACCCAAAGTTTGCAGTTAATTTCTGAAGGAATTATAAAGCAACAATTTCTAAACTGGAGTATCTACCAGAAAGCGGATGGGGAACGCAGGGGGATCCACTGATGAGCCGAACCCCTCGCAGCCGTGCCATGTAGCGGTAGAATATCGGTGAAACACGTGTCTGGGACTTTTATCTAGTACCTGTACTGCTAGTATGGTATCTTTTAACCCTAAAATAGAAATCGTTAATCGCATTTGGTTTTGCTTTTATCCTTTGGTTGACAACGATATCCTCGTCCTCATGTGATAGTTGACAGTCAAACCTGTGCCTTAGTGGTCAACGACGGCAAAAAATGTTTTATGTCATCCCATAGGCACCTGAATGAAAAAAATAGTTTTTTTAACTTGTTTTCCATAGAAGGCCCTTCATAATGAAGGATATCATAAAATGTGTTTATGCTGGTGGCGCAAAACCACCAAACTTTTCTAAACCGACTATTCGACCGACTGGAATTTTCCAACATTAAGGGGCCAATGCCTGTTTGATTAAATTTGCAAAGCCCTAACTTGGTGTTTTTTCCGATGAGGGACTTAAATTATACTATGCCTCAGTGACTGCTATTATGGCTGTCATATAATTTCCTCACTTTTTCGCTTAGTCTTTTCAGGTGGCATAGCGAATTCGCCATTACCGTACTTTCTAGAAATAAATGATGTTCCCAGAAACGGGTTTGCTTTTAGGAAGGAAGCAAAACAGTTTTTTAAGTTTGTTGACTTTACAGTCTTCTGCTTGCACATTCCAATTCCCTTTTATCTGTCCACAGGCATCAAACTAGTCATCGTCATCTGCCGATGTATCCTTTCCGTAGACACTCCAGATGCGATGTTTATCCGGCTTTATGACTTGGAAGCCGCCTTCTAGCACACTGGGTGTGTTATCTTCGCGTCGAATAACGAACACACCGCCTGCGTTGTCAAACTGGTTGCAGTAATTGGGGGCTGAAAAAACAGTGATTAACTTTCGATCGTGGTAAAATTCGTAGCCGTCTTCAACCACCTGGTGTCCCCGAACAATCAGGTCTAGACCGAATTTGTCCAAGAACTGGTCAATTACGTCGTAACCAAAGTGCCATGAACAACCTCGGGGACTGGACTGCCAGCCCACTGGGTCGTCTCCGTTCATAGGCATATCCGCCGGGTCTGCCCAGACAAGGTCACAGAGGAAGCCTTCACGTGGGACGTCTGTCGGTCTTGCGATCGAATTTAATAGGTCGATCAGGCTGGAGACATGGTCCTCCAGAAATTGGGGTGAAAGCCCACCGTGACAGCAGAATATGCTCTTTTCAACAATTGCAGCAATGGGTAAAACATTGAAGACCTGTAAAAAGTTCTGTCGCAGTTTTGTTCTCCCGTAACGGTTTCTTATTTCTTCCCGAAAACCATAGACTCGGTTTACCAGACCGATCTCGTGGTTGCCCCGAAGGAGGTAAATATGATCTGGATACTTGATTTTGTATGCAAAGAGGAGACAAAGTATTTCTATTGACTGTGGTCCACGATCGACATAGTCACCAAGGAAAAGGTATCTGGACTGAGGAGGATGATTACAAAGCTCTAACAGCCTCAGTAGGTCATAAAACTGTCCATGTAAGTCTCCGCAAACCTTGAGTGGAGCGTCTAATTCAAGAAGCATTGGTTCTTTCTCAATAATCGGGGTTACAAGAGAGCACAGAGCTATACATTCCTCCTGTTCGATGGGGATAAGTTCACCGGGTCTATCAATGCCTCCCTTTAGTCGTGCTATTAATTTGTCAAGGTGGAGATCGTAAGGGATCCCTTCACCCTCTCCCTGGAAGCTCATGGCTGGCAGGTCGAATGCCCAAAAACAAAAGGGCACATACAAGGCGTGCACTCCACGGGATTTTCCATATGCAGCGCTTCAAAACGATCGATACTGCCCAAAACCTTGTATCCGGGTCACGTGGTGGAGTGTAGTAAGTGCTAGGATGTCTGTTTACATGCACGAGCGAGTCGGCGCGATTTGTCTCATACACTCATTTATGACTCACTGACTAACGGGGTAGCAAGACTTATTCGTATTTTCCCCTATGTATCCGCACCATGGATTTTGTGTTGTAGTGATCGTGGTATACCCATAAATTTTGCAGTGCAAATTTTGCAAATGTTGATCCCTGCTACAGAGTGATTGGCATCTTTTATAGGTCAGCTTGGCTTTGAAAGGTAACATTCTCTACAAAGTCAAAATTTAGACGTGAAAAATAGAGCTTTGAACTAATATATAAAGAGTAACTACATTTGCAGCAAATTTCAGGTGTCGGAAGAGCAGAATAGGGAGGAGAACGAACTTTTGGCAAGCATGACTTCGACTTTATGGGTTGCCCTGCCGTCCTCAATTCAAATTCCACCAAAACAATCTGATGGAGTTCACTTATAGAACCTGTCGCTGTGGACCAGTTACATTGAAAGCAAACCACTGTAGGCAATCTGTTTCGCCTTAAGCAGGCATACTCTCCATTTGGTTTTCAAAAAGATCGTAATTTATTGATTTTTAGGTTTCTGCACACATACTGCATTTTTGAAGTAAAGAAAGCACGTCGTGTAAGGTTTTGGCTTGAATTGCGTTGGTTTTACTTTTCTACATTGGTGAGCCTTTATGTGCCTAAACGGCGACTTCCCTGGGTCGATGAGGAAAGGTAGATCTGTTGGTCAGCGCACTATGACGCCGTTAATGACACCAAAAAGGAAAGTTAGAGAGGAACTTACACTGCCACTTCTTTACGGCAATCCAGAAGAACCATTCACTTGGGATCCATCGCGTATATCCACCAATCACAACTGAACTGCTGCTAACACCCCCTTCAACTTACCCACCGCTGCAGTGGCCTCATTTGGCACCCCCAATTTTCACCTCC